TAATGTCACAATAAATAAAAACGAATTCAACAAATCGTTCTGTTCATTTGACATATTTTTAACCTTTTACTGAAAATGCGAAAAATAAATGGAATGCCAAATTTTCATTTCAAAATCGAGGTGAGAATATAATTTAGATCTTGATTCATTCACAAATCATAAATTTTTTCTTACCAATGTTGGAATGTCATCTTTAAATAATTGGATTTTGGAATATATTTGTTTATAAGTTTGAAACATCACATACACAGTCACACATTTTGCGACTTTGACATGACAAGCCACAATTGGTTTGTTCCCGTACTGCATGAATCTACTTAATTTTACTATTTTCTTCGATATCATAAAGGAAAATTCGTTATCGTAATAAAAAGTAGTAGATTCATGCAGTACGGGAACAGACCAAATATGAAACAAATTGTAATTTATAAGTTGCTATGGCCTACCTTGAATAATTGCAACAGGTCGGTAATAAGCCAAATGGTTTCACCCGAACTGTCAAAATTTGACTTATCGTGTGAAAACGTAAACAACAAATTTGACAGTTTGGGGGATTTTCTACCAAATTGGCCGATAATATTCGCTTCTTACTCGACCTGTTTATTGGATCATGAGGTAGGGCAAAAGTTTTTAATGCTTGTATGTCGAATAAATGCTCGAAAACCAATTTGCTATGCTTGACAAATATTATATTATGTTGGACAAATAAATGTCAAAAATGTTGATTGTTAAAAAACAAAATTATAAATGAAAATCTTTTCGAAAAGAAACTTTTATTAACATTTTCTACAAGAATTTTTGAAAAAAATGGTTTTTGTATTTTTGAAATAGTTGAAATCGATTGTGTTTAAATAGTTGATCTGGCAACACTGTTTAAATCGATTAGTTGATGAGAAAATCCTAGTTAGCAACATAGAAAGAGTCTGAGAGTTTTTAAAAGCTTTCTACAACAACAAAATAAACGGTACCTTCGAAGGGAAAAGTAATATAAATATATAAAATGTATGTCCTCTATTTGTTATCTATCTATTATGTGTGATAATTTTCGTGAAAATCGGTTCAGATTTAGATATATCTTCCCTATATATTTTCGTCCGATTTGTAAATGATGTACCAAAGTCCCCATATATATTTCGATGTGTACAAAATTTGGCATAGCGTACAGAATTTAGTCTACAATGATATGTGCTAAGTTTCATAAAAATCGGTCCAGATTTAGATATAGCTCCCATATGTATTTTCTTCCGATTTTATGTTAATTGTGCACTAAAGACACAAAGTTTGTCCGATTGGCTCACAATTTTGTACAATTTACAATTTTAAAATGTATCTTTGGCAGGTTTCGTTGAATCGGTTCATTGATACGAAATGAATCAAATTGAGACAATTGCTTTATGGCTTTTTTGAAATTGGTGCAGATGCATTGTACGTAAACGACTCTAAACCTGCCCGAATAAAATGAAATTTAGCATGCAGAAAGGGTGTGTATGGATTGATGAAAGTCGGTTCAATTATAGATAAAGATCATACACTTAAAGTAGTTCAATTTCCTGAACTTGTTAGGATACATATGCAGAATATACCCAAAATGGTGAAGGGTGTCATATAGTTGGCTTTACTTTTTTAATGTTATATTCGAGTATATATTCCCTAACAAAAGTATTAAAACAATTAAAATTGTCCCCTTTCGACTCCTAAAACCTGCTCTTCAGACTCAGATTTTGCATTTAATTTACTATGCTGATTTTTCTGGACATATTTTAGTTACAGTCTCCCGCCGTTGACAATTATAGCTCTTGCATTTCCGTAAAACAATTTCACATCATAATAGATACAGATAATATAGAAAATCTTTGCTTAGATTCCTCTACTTGCCATTTTTCCAATTAAAAACACCTGTAGTGACAACCCTAACCTTTTTTACCTGAATATTGTGAGAAGAGAGAGCTAGTCATGCTCATTAAGTAACTGGCCAACAATTTTATATAAAAAATAACAACATTGCAATGAAACAAAAATATAATCAGAGAGAGAGAGAGTTAAACCAAAAAGAGAGGACTATACAAATTGTTCCCCTCTCTGTGTATTTGTTGTGATTGGAGATGGCAGACACATTTTGGTGATGGGAATAATGCACAGGGGTGAGTTTTTGGTACTATTTTCATACGAAATGATGGTAAAAGAAATAAATTAAAAAATTTATTAAAATAAAAAGCAAAAAGGGGTAAAAATGTTGGGCTGGATCGAACTTTAATAGCTATAATGACTGTTATTTTATATTAAATGTTCTATCCAGTAAAAATTTCTTATGAAAAATGGACGGGTTAGATGATGTAACAAATAGGTAGAACGATATTTTCCAAGGATAAATTGTAACAAAAAAAAAAAAATAAATCAAGCCTACTGAGAACTATATTATACTGCCACGACTTTCGATTTAACAGCATAAAGAAATATAATTTTTTTCAATAAAAATATGAAATATTTGAACACATTTTATAATATCTTAATTTTATTTCGCGATTTTGTTTAGTTCGCTAAGAGAAATGGATTCGACGTATTTGGGTAATACGGCCGTACAAAACATTTTGCCGTAGTGGGGAAGTTGAATATTTTTGTACGCTTCGTTGAATTTTAGGTAACGTTGTAATGAATAATAGGCGGGATATACATACATATATGGGGATATAAAAATTAGACCTATACCAAAATTTTTTTCCAGATATACTAAAGTTATCCATTTTTACTCGGCCATAATTTTCGAGTAAAAATTTTACAAAGAGAACGCCATTTTGTTTTGTGTTCTCTTAAATTTGGTTCAATGTTTTACCAGTTTTGTGGGTTTAGGAACGGGTTTCGAGTAAAAAGTTTGCGAAACTTGTAAAATTAGTAGATTCTTTTAGGTTCTGGAGCGGAACTACTTTGTGCAAAATCCACGACTTTCGAATACTTCAAAGAATATTTTTTAAAAATTCGTGGACTAAAATTAGACTTGAAAAATTATGTTTTGAAAATCCTGGACTAATATTAGACTTGAAAATTATTTTTTAAAAATCCACGCCTATGGAAAACTAGAAAATATATTTAAACAAATTCTTGGTCTAAAATATTTTTAAAAATTCATGGACTAAAATTAGACTTGAAAAAAATATTTTTTAAAAATCCACTTCTGTAGAATATTGAAAACTATACTTAAAGAAATCCCCGCCCTTCGAAAACTTGAAATAAAAATATATAAAAATAATAAAAAATTAGAGATGAAAAATATATTTAAAAAATCAGCGCATATCCAAGATTTGAAAAATATATATTTTAAAAAAATTCACGGCTATTAAAAATTTGAAAAAAATTATTTTTAAAAAATCTACGCCAAATAGTAGACTAGATTTTTTTTAATCCCGCAGTAAAATAAGATTTAATAGAACATTTTTTAAAAAATCTACACCTATTAAAGATTAAAAGAAAAAAATTAAAAAAAATGTCCGACTATCGAAGATTTGAAAAAATATTTTTAAGAAGCCAAGCCTAAAAGTTGACTCGCAATGTTTTTTTTAATTTCTTGGACTACGATTAGATATAAAAATGTTTTTTTTTTTAACTCCTGGACTAAAATTAGACTTTAAAAAATATTTTTAAGAAATTCTGCACTAATATTACACTTGAAAACAAAATTTAAAAAAAGCCATGGCTATAGAAGATATTTAAAAATACATTTTTAAAAATCCACGGATATCGAGGAATAAAAAATATATTTTTAAAAATCCACGGATATCGAAGATTAAAAAAATATATATTTTTAAAAAATCCACGCCAAAATAATATATTAAAATAAAATGTTTGACAAATCCACGCCTATCGAAGATTTAAAAATATATTTTTTTAAAAAATCCACTCAAATCGAAGATATTAAAATAATATTTAAAAAAATGAGTAGCCGTGGATTAAAAAAATATTTTTAAAAAATGCACGTCAATCAATGTTATGATTTTTTAATCCACGTCTAAAATTAGATTAAAAACATATTTTTTTTTAGAAAAAAAACTTCTAAAATTAAACTTATTTTTTTTTAGATTAAATCTAGACCTAAAATTAGATTGGTCCAAAATATTTCAAAAATCCACCCCTATCCAGGTCTAAAATTAGATTTTGTCAAAAATGTATTTTTTTGTTTGAAATTGGCGCCTTACAGCCTGTTTTTGTAAAATTCCAAACGAACGAATTCGAGTGACTTACGACCAAACCTTTATGTTTATAAATGTTTTCTGATTCAAAACAAAATACCCATGGTCCTTTTTACTAAACGACAGTTGTTCCTGACATTACAATCCAATAAAAATTTAATTTCATAAACAAAAGTACATCTTTATCTTTAGTACAGTCGTACCAAATTTAGTACACATTCACGCTGCCACTGCTCATCTCATCGCACACTCGTGTAGAACCAAATAAAACATTTGTTATTATACATTTTGTTAAGCAATTTTCTTGAAACGCTTGTAGCTGGCGCACGCGTCTTCTTCTTTTCCTTCTCTTTTATTTATGTGGCAAAAAAAACCCTCATTTTATTTCTTTTATAAAAAACTAACCACTGCAGCTGAATATTCAGTCAGTCTTGAAGACGACGTCAGTCAGTCAGTGTATTTTAGTTGTCGAACGGAGGAACAAGCGCGTTATTTGTGTGGTGTCGCCGCTCTTCGTTCAACTTTGTTGTGATTTTGGGTTTTTTGCATTATTATATTATTGTTGTTTGTGAAACAAGTAAAAGGAGGAAGGAAAAAACCAAAATAATAAATAAAAACAACTTAACATAGAAAAAAATAAAAAGCAAACAGTGAAAATTTTTCCACTAAGCTTTCAAAATAAAAAATAATTGAAATTTATTTCAAATAAAAGAAATTTATAAAAGAATAAAAACAGTAACAGCAGAAAGAAAATGAGTGATACAAAAATTAATAACGGTAATTGCACGACGGCGGTCAATGGCCAACATCAAGAAGACCAACAAAATGCCAAAAAGGAAATTCGTGTATGGTGTGATGGATGGTGAGTCATTTGATTTTTATTAGAATTTGTCAATAATTTCAACTAAAATTCCCCTCTCTCTGTTGTTCTTTCTTTAAAATATAAATTTTGTGAAACAAACCATTGTAATTTAATAGGTAATTTAACATTGAAAAGATGACGGCTAAAACAAAATGACTCAAAAAGTTGAAACGTCAGAATTCTGTCGTCTTTACTTGAATTGCGCTCTTTGCCAGCGCTCTCCTCTCCTTTGCAGTGTGTTTTTCTCCTCCAGTTATGGATAAACGCCCTTTTTGTATTGTTTTTGTTGTTGCTGTTAAGAAAGGTTGTTAGATTTTCTGTTATTTACATTTCCTCCCCCTTTTTTGTTTGCTCTTTTCTGATCATCTCGCCACTCTCTCTCGTGCGTACTGGCTGGCGGCTGTCGAAAACATTTGTTACATCATATGTTCTAATCATTACTGCTGTTGTTGTTATTTTTGTATGTTTGGAATTTTTTGTGGAGATGAGAATTGAACACAGTGGGAAAATTGCATAAAAATTACGATAAAGTAATTTGAAAGCTGAATAAATTGCTGGTTGAATAGAGGGGCCAATAATGAGTTGAAGATAAAAAAGGTTTAAGTTTAATTTAAGGTCCGTTATATAGGGGCTACTCTGAAACATGGACCAATATTGTTAATTTTTCGTAGGCCGATCAGATAGTTAAAGGTAATCCAAAATACCAATTTACATCTGATTCTGCTGAAAACGTGTCTAAAACCTCAAAAAAGGTGAATAATTGGGTGCAACGTTATATGGGGTTTACCCCAAAAAGTGGACCAATATGAATTATTTTCAGTAGGAAGATTTGATACCCAAAAAAAAAAACTACAGATTTGAATTATAAACACAAAAAAATCACATGAACATTTAAAAACATCGATACAAATATCAGAAAAATATTACAACTAACTAAACCTATTTAAATCCAAACGGGAGTCACACTCTTCGAAATCCAATGAAACATCAAGATTCCCCTGAATAAAAATATTATAACGTTTGGCTTTCGAAATGAAACATTATAACTTGTGATATGAAAACTAAAATAAAATAGGTAAGGAAATGTAGCCCCAAACAGGTGGGGAAAGTATGGGGTATTCCATAACAAAAAAAGGGGAGAATAGGAATATCATGGTGGGGTGGGAATTTCTCCCGGCAAAAAATACCATTGAAAGTGCCCAGTAAACCGATCAATCTCAGACGGTCAAGAACTTATTCGCTATCATGTGACTCGCTGTTGTTTTTTTGACAATATTATAAACTAAGACGTCCCGAGATTGGTTTCAAGATTTGCAAACGTTTTATTAAAAAGATGAGATCTAAGCTCCGGATTTTTATTGCTATTTTTGTGGTAAAAAGGCATCTATTAAGGCTCTCAAGCATTTTATGAAATTACCAAAAAGTTGTGATAAATCTAGTAATATTTTTTCTTTTTATTTCTATATGAATAAATTTTATTTTTATTGAAAAATGCGCTTTTAAAGCTCTTTCTATTTCAGCCACAATTTGTGGCTTTATAGTCAAAGTGTAAATATCTAACTTTTCGCTGACTAAAATTTTACTTACATATAGTCGGTTTAAAAAATGCACTCAAAGCCTAACATGTTAACTCTAAGTTAACAGTTGGATAACTATCTATAAAGTTAACTGAAAGTAATGTAGAGTTGGATAATTGACTACTTCTTAGGAAATCACAATATTAAAATAGCCAGTTAATTGCATATAAAATAATCCAAGTATCAATCACCAATACCTGAGAAATAGTTAGCTTACATTTAATTTATAGGTAGCAGAAGTTAATTAATTGCATATAAAATAATCCAAGTATCAACCACCAATACCTGAGAGATAGTTAGCTTACATTTAATTTATAGGTAGCAGAAGTTACATCGGGGATAAAACGACCAATACCGGCGATCTCTTGAAAGTCGTTTTAAGCGTTTACTGTTCCTTCTATTCTGTTTTATAGTCGTACTACCATGGGAGTTGTGTTCGAATTGCGGATCAGTTTCAATTTAAACTGAGCCTTAAATCAAATGTTAAGCCTTTGATTGTTGTACTTTTTATTTTGAAACTTTAGTGGTGGATATGGAAGTGCTGTATCAAATAATCGAATGATGCCTTGAAGTGGAGAAGGGTTTCATGTAAACAATGGTTGATCACGAGTTAGTCGATCCTAAGTTCAAGGCGAAAGCTGAACATTTTTAATTTTATAATTATAACCAAGAAAATGCATTATAAAGCTGTTTTCGTAATTAAACACTTGAATAATATTGAATGAAAGGGAATAAGGTTTTCAATTCAGTATCCTATGGAGTAATTCAGTATCCTAAATATGAACCTTGTCGTTGTCCTAGCAACAGGAACGACGATCGTAAAGAAAGCGTCGAGAAGTAAAGGAATAGTTTTCTATTCTGTTTTATAGTCGTACTACCAAAGATGTTGTGTTATAGTTTTAGACCAGTTTGGAGCCTCAAATTAGTTTAAATTGTTATTAATACTTGTGAATGTATATTTAAAGGATTAGGTTCTGGCTATAAAGGAGTAATTCAAATGTGATCTTGTAGAACTCTGCAATATCATTAAATATTTGAAAAAAATAATATTTTATATACGATTTTTTAAACTGTATGAATAATAGGTTGCAAATATGCGTCACCGTGGGGAAAAATATGACCACGGAATTTCCTACACATTATCTATAGCAAAATAGAAATATTTACTTGTACTTGTAGATTAATACTGCAGCCAATAAGTACGTCTGAAATTTTAAGAAAATTACTAATAAATGACAAATCTGAAACTGAGGTGTCCGGTCACTGGAAGTTAAATTCTATAACTGGAACTTCCAGAATCGAAGCACATGTGGTTACAGATGATCTTTGAAAACAATTATTATTTCCATTGAATCGCCTCACTGTGTCCCATAAATGTCACAGAAAACACGGCTATTATCCACTATTACTCTTTGGACATTTAATTCGCCAAACTAGCAGCTTTAGTGTTTCTGCTATGAAAAAATAAAAATTTACATAAAATGTTGTTATTTTTTTATTTCTTTGGCGCTCGTTTTGTTTATTATTTTTGTTGCTGTTTTTATTTGTCATTATTTATTGTTTCTTCGTTTGTGCAAAAAAATATTGCATAGCATAGATAGCAACGTATACTAGCAACAAATCGAGCACGTTTTCCGAACATGTGCTGTGAAAATATTAATTCAAGATAAACACGAAAAAATGTTTAAATAAAAAACGCAAAAAAGATGAAGACGAACGAAAAAATACTGCAACTCAACAAAAATTGGATACAATTATTTAGATAATTAAAAAAAGACATGGTGAGGTTGGCTAGGGGGTCAATGAGGAAGGAAGGTTATACCAAGCGCTGTGTGCATTTGCGGTGGAATGCAATTCATTTTTTCGCTACGTAGTAGTTGTAGAGGAAAAATCCGATAGACCGACGACCAGCCGGCTAAAAAAATTTCCATTGCGGTGTGTTTTTTTTTTCTTTATTGATTTTTTGCGCATTTTATTTTTGTTTATACAAAAGAAGAAAATCATTTACTGTTGCCAACTCAAGAGATAATTTTGCACTTTTTTGCGGATTTGTGGTTTTTACCATATGTGTCAAATAAAATGTTTGTTGTTGTTGTATCATTGTGGATGTTTGTGTTATTTTATCCACACATGACAAAACCAATAGCCTAAGAGCTTCATTACCAGTTGGGTGCAGTTGCACTCAGTTTGACCGATAATCATTGTCTCTCCGTGTTACTTATCAATGTCAAGGTTGATTGGATTTTATTTCATGTGGATGGTGGTGTTGCTGGTATGACAACATCGTTGGTTGTTTCTCGAAATGTTGGAAAAATTTACACAATTTTTCATTGCACATTGCAGTTGGTGGGTTGGGTGTGAGAGAAAAACAGAAAATTCGGTAAAGTTCGAATTTTAGTATGTTCACGAAGTGCTGAAGAAATTAAGAAGGCCAGAAAATTGCTTTAATGGGAAAATACTACTAGAAAAATTTGAAATATTAGAAAAAGTACGAAAATTTCACGTTTTGCTTGCGAATAACGTGGTCAGATGAGACTGCATATAATAGAATCAGGCAGAAGAGACGGCAGTGGACATGGTGTAAAAACGTGTTGACATAAAAGAACGAAATATTTGTAAATTATACAATTCAAGGTGCCCATTAATTAAGTTGGGTTTTTTTCTACGGGATCCAGCTTCAAATCCGAGGCAAAATTCCCAGTGTAGACATATTCAGTGTTTAACCAGAACTGGATGTCAGAAACCTGATTTTAAGCGAAAATGACTACAAAAATCATTTGAACATTGTAAAAACTACGAGAATAGCTTGTATGTATTAAGATTGTTTGCGGTTAACGTGGTTAGATGAGAAAGCCGAAATAACGTTTTGTCATAAAAGAAAGATATATTTGATTAGGGGTCTTTTTCACTGAAAACAAGCATGGATTTCTTCGTCGAATTAGTGAAAATATGAGCGCGGTGGGTTTTCAGAGAAGGCTCTAATATTCACAATCTAAACATATTAGGTTTAGATCCAAGACAGGGCGATTCCTGCAAGACACGCAGAAGGTATTTGCCAAGATTAAACGGTATATACATTAGAACTTGTTACCGGTTTAACCTACTTTATGAGGATTTATTTGACATATATGAACAGGAATTGACATTCAAAACCCACTGGATTTTACATATATTCAATTTACATATATTCAATTTTTTGAGTGTAATAATAGTTCACATATTTTTTCTTCGAGTGTTTACTTCATTTGTGTTGTAGTTCACACAAGTCTCTTTTTTATAAGTTAATTTAATTTTCATCCTTTTGTTCTTTTATTTTTCATAATTTTTTCTGTCTAAGTCTAAGTAATATATTATATAAAAAATTATTTTCCTTATCTTATCCTTATCCTTTCCCAACACTTACTTCCTTATTACTTTTAATTA